AGTCAAGAACTGAAATTAAAAATCTTTTGAGCTGCCCAGAAGAAACTAGGGGAAACAGTTTCCTTGAAGAACATAGCACTGGTAAGATTGACTTCTTGTATCTCCTTATTGGTTTCAGGGACCTCAGATAATATATTGAGGAAGCTTTTCCACCAAACTTCTCAATGATATCCAGGATCACTAAACAAAATTCTTGAAATGCGGAGTCCAAATATAACCCTTTTCTAAGAACTTAGAAACTGAAAAGATATTTATCCCCCAATGATTGAGAGCCAAGCAAGATATTCATGTATTAAAGCAATTTGAAGAAACAACTTCTATATGATTCTGCAGTACAGATTCCCCTACAAAATGAATATATAACCATTTTTGCGTTTATTCTCTTCTTACACCAAGTAAGTTAACTGTCGCAAATAAGTCAAATGCATTAAATTATTAATTGAAAATCCGAAAGGGAATTTTTTATAAGCAATATTAATTTACCAGAGATGGATTTTGATAACCAATATTTTGATGAACATAAATAAAACCAAGTAGTTAAAGACATAATAATACAAAGCCTATGCTTACCGGCTCAGACATGAACGGAAAAATGTCTTCAGACTGGGATCAGCATCATGTAAGACCATTTCACCAAAATCAATGAAAAACTGAAGAATGGCCTGATAAAAAAGTGCAAAAATATTAAAAGAGAACTTACGACGACATCTTAGCATCTGATTCTTGGAAGACACGGCATAAAAGATACTCGGCAGTAATAATTTTAAAAAACCTAGAAATAAATAAAACTAAACTCAGAACTCCTCAAATTCACCTGATGCTCTAGATTGTACAAAGAATGAAAAGGGAGCCAAAAAACCTGACGTCAAAGAAATCATAAAAAACACAATTGAACAAGTAAATGGGGTCATCTTTTTTGGTCATTTTTCATGCAACCTAGCATCTGAGAGACAATATAATCGATTGTTCCGCCATTTACTGAGGAAGTAAACCCATTAAGTAAACCAATTACTAAAAAAATAACCAATACTATACATCATAATATTAATATACATATTATTCTTTGGGAGGTTGTATCCTTGAACATTTTCGGTTTTCATTATATCAATGAGAACTTGTTTCTTGTTCAAAAAATATACACATGTCAAATAAAATAATGATAATAACAATAATAAAGAAATTATCATCCATAAACCTACTCCATCAGTTTCCTTCTTAAAAAATAACTTGCCCTCGAATTTAATGTGGTGAGTGTTGAGGATTGTTGGGAGGGAGTCCCACATTGGCAAATTTAGGGAATGATCATGGGTTTACAAGTAAGGAATACATATCCATTGGTATGAGGCCTTTTGGGGAAGCCCAAAACAAAGCTATGAGAGCTTATGCTCAAAGTGGACAACATAATACCATTGTGAAGACTCGTGATTCCTAACATGGTATCAGAGTCATGCCCTTAACTTAGCCATGTCAATAGAATCCTCAATTGTTGAACAAAAAGGTTGTGAGCCTCGAAGGTGCAGTCAAAAGTGACTCAAGTGTCAAATAAAGGGTGTACTTTGTTCAATGACTCCAGAGAAGGAATCGAGCCTCGATTAAGGGGAGGCTGTTTGAGAGCTCTATAGGCCTTAGAGGAGACTCTATAGTGTATTTTATCTGAGGGGAGGATTGTTGAGGATTGTTGGTTGGGAGTCCCACATTGGCTAATTTAGGGAATGATCATAGGTTTATATAAGTAAGCAATACATCTCCATTAGTATGAGACCATTTGGAGAAGCCCAAAGTAAAGCCATGAGAGCATATGTTCAAAGTGGATAATATCATAGCATTGTGAAGAATCCTGATTCCTAACACAAGGATGTATGGAACAAAGAACATTAAAGGCTGAAATTTCACTTCTTGTGAAGTAGAAAAGCTCCAACTGAAAATGTTGTCTTCAGACTATCAGAACGCTTGTCACAGATACATCAACCACCAAATAACTATAAATTTATAAAGCCATCTTGGGGCCTGCGGATTATGCAACCTCACATTTGAAAAGCATAAAATCCAAGATGAAGAGTTCCATCCAACTTCTGAATTTATCTTAATTTCACTAAACAATACTAAAAAAGTGAAGGCGAAGCCAATTGAAAAAATAGTCATATGCCCACGAAGCATTCCTTGTCTACAGTTTTAGTGGATGGAAGAAATTTCCCAAATCAATCAAAAAGAATCCCAAGCTAAAAAAAAAAAAAAACAAATCAATCATCCTCCAGTGTAAAGATTTATGAAAGTAAATTCAATAGAAGATAAGAAAGCACACCAGTAAGAGGAGACCATTAGAAGTTCCAGATTGAGACAAAGACGATACTGAACGCTGAAAAATCTTGTTAAACTGAGGATAAACCCGAGCCACCAAATCCTCAGAATTCTCAGCTTTGCACAATTCATATAGCCTTTTAACCTGAAGAAATGAATTCATGCACAAACGAGTGAGGAATACTTCGAAATAAAATTTAGCATCTTTCAGAGACCCGAACAGTATCCCCCATAATTTTCTGGGGAACCAAACAGAAATCAAGAACAAAACTCACTGATTGAAGGATATTAGGATCGGAAGCGGGATCGTTGCCGGAATTGGAGTCTCTGGCACTGTTGGATAAGGTTCTGAGATGACAATCCCAATCCTGGTCTCGATCCACCATTCTCCTGGATCAAAGTCTTGGAGAAATTAGAAGTGAGGAACGACGATGCTGCTTCGGTTGGGGGTACATAGGTAATATTTAATGAAAATTGATGTTTTCAGTAATTATAAAATAAATAAATTAAAAAAAAAAAAACTATATTATAATCTTAAAAATTCAAATAGACTTTAAAAAAAAACTAAAAAATATATATTATTTACTATTAACTAAATACTCAATTTTTAAAATATTATTCTAATTTCCGTCTCAAAAGTATCCTTAAAAACTTCAAAAAATTCATTAATACCCTTTAATATTTTTAAAAAATGTTAAAAAATCCTATAAAATTTTAAAAACAACATTAATACTATTTATCTTTATAAAAAAGTTAAAAAATTCTTAGTCAGTCGATATTTTATAGATTATCTACAAATATTTTAATGTTATTTTAAAATTTTCCTGAATATTTTTTTAAATATATATCGAGGAGAATAGTATTTTTCAATTTTTTTAAAAATTTTTAAGTTTTTAAAAAATTTAAGAGTATTTTTTTTAATTTTTTTAAACACTTTAAAAACGTATTTTTGAAACTCTTTTAACAATTTAAGAGTATTTTTTAAAAAATATCCATTAATTAAATTTAACTTTATGCTAAATTTGATTTTTATTGAAACTATTTTTTTTTTTACCAAAATTATAATTTACCTTAAAAAATCTAAATAAGAATTAGATTCAAAATTCTTTTTTTTTCAAAAATAAATTATATTTTTATTAGATAATTATTAATATTTCCTACTTTTGAGTTATTTTAATTAACTATTTTTTAGTTTAGTTTTTTTTTTTTTTTTAATGTATCTATTTCACTTAAAATTACCTATTTTTATTTAAAATAAACGATTAATCTTAGCAATATTTATATAATCTCAATAAAACAAAATTAAAGAATATTTTTTTAATTACTTAAACATTTACTTGTATCTTTTTTAAAAAAAATAATAATTATAATATACTTATTTAACACATTATATTTACGGAGTGATGTAATAATTATTTTGTTAGTATTTAATATTTATTTATTAAATTATGATGTACACTTTATTCATTTGATTTAGATGCCTCGTATACCTACAACTCACAACCATAACTTATGTGATTTAAATGCACGTCCATATCATAAATTTAATTTAATTATTTAAATAAAAAAATGAAAAATAATCATTTTGAAATTAGAATCATAATAAAATTAATTTATTATTTATCATCTTTTAAAATATTTGTTTTAATCTCACAAAATTTGAGGTCATAAATAAATTGTTTCAATCGATCAGTGTAGTTTCACTATATTGACCAGAAGAAATGTATCTTAAGCATCGGAATACTTAAAGCGTCACTATTTAAGGTCGTAAATAGCTGGTTTCAATCGTTAGTATAATTTCAATACATTGATTACGAAAAATTGTATTCTAACTGCCCAAGGCCACCGTTAGCAGATATTGTTCGTTTTGGCCCGTTACGTAGGTAGAACGTAAGAACAGTTTGGGATTGAACACGGCGTTTTTTCTTTTTGACTGGACAACTGGATGCACGAATCTTGCTCTACCCCCTTTCCCTTTCTTTTTAAAGAAAGAACTCTAGTGAATGGCTAAGAGGAAGTGTCTTTGGTAATCTGGTCGATTTACTTCACCTTTTCAAGAAGGTATTTTTGAAGGGCGGTAACCTTAGCCCAGAACTCGATCTATGGCCTCGGTGAGGGGTAATTAAAAGCATCGTTGCTAACGGTGCAATCTATGGTGCCTTCAAGGCATCCCACCCCCTTTCAAGTGATTCAAATCAAATAAGACATGTAGTCTCATGGAGGAGAAATTGTCACTCTCTTATAAGGAATGTTTCGTTCTCCTCTCCAATTGAAATGAAATCTCACTATCCACCCCCTTGGGGACCAAGCGTTTTCGCTGGCACACCCCTCGAAACCGTAAGACTAACAACGATTCGTGATGGACTAAAACGAACAATATCTACTAGCGCTAAACTCGGGCTGTTACATGTATCCCGAGTATTAGAACTGTTAAGACATTACTTTTTGAGGTTGTAAATAGTTGGTTTCAACCAACTACATTGTCATGAAGAAATATATCCCGAGCATTAGAACAGTTAAGACATCATATTTAGAAGTAGTAGGTACGAGTCTAGGAGATATTACATCATTCAACCATGGCAGACCAGCAAGGGCAACTGGCAAGCCCTCATTGATCATATAAAGAGAAAGGAGGAAGATTACATGGCAACATTCCAATACAATAGAGAAACTGAACCACCAGTTCTTCGAATTCCTCTCAAAGTGACCTATTTTTCAGCTCCCCCACTGACCCCATCGCTCCTAAACAAGAAAATTCTTGGTGGGTTTTGTAAATAATATACCTTCTAACACAGTTCCCAAAGCCTTAACATTGTCGCCGCCTAATTTGATTTGACCCTCTTTATAAAACCCCCTTTGCAAATTAGTTTGTTCATGGTTCCTGTTTCTGGGTCGGTAAATTTTGATCACTTTTTTGGTGGGTGTTTGTTGGTTTCATAAGTCGTAGCTTATTTGTCCCTTAAGAGTCGTGAAAGATCATCTTGTTTCGTGGCTTTTTGAGTTTTGTGAAACGTTTTTTCTTCGTGTTCTTGATATTATTGCACGAACCCAGGAGATTAATCTTTGATATCTTTGATTTGTTGCGCTTTGCGTTGGAATTTCGTGATACCCATTTGAATTTCCACCATGATCTGTGCTGTGAAACCATCATCTAGAGCTATCCATTGCTCCGATGGTGTTATTCGGAGCAAAATCTCTGTTCCTTCTAAACGATCCTTGTTTCTTCCTCCTCTTCCGATGCAAAAACCTCCAAAATCCGCTGTTTCTGTTCATAAGGCAGTTCATGTTTCTTCGCTTGAGAATTTCGGATCACTTCGGGTTCGTAAACCTAATCCGATCAAATGCGAAGCTTACGAGGCTGATCGATCGCAGCCGATCGAATCGAGCATCGATTTGTCGCAAAATCAAGCCCGTTCCGAGGCGGCGAAGAAGTTGAAAATCGGATCATACTTCGCTCTTTGGTGGGCTTTGAACGTAGTTTTCAATATCTATAACAAGAAAGTGTTGAACGCTTACCCATATCCTTGGCTGACCTCGACTCTGTCGCTTGCCGCCGGATCTCTGATCATGTTGATATCATGGATGACAAAAATTGCCGAGGCGCCTAAAACTGATATCGAATTTTGGAAGTCTCTGCTACCTGTAAGTATCAGGATTTGTTTGTTTGATAAAGAAGACAAAAGTTTATTTGTTATGTTGTGATTTGTGAAACGGATTGACTTTTCAGCCATTAAAGATAGGGAAAGCTTGCCAAATTAAGCAATTACAAAGGAAATACAAATCTAATTCTATGTTCATTCGTGTATATTAAGGATAGATTCATGCTTGTCTGAGTTGTTCTTGTTTGTCTGAATTACCAGATGACTTTAATGTTTGTATCTGTTGATGTTGATATTGTTGTTTGTTTTAAGGTTGCTGTTGCCCATACAATTGGACATGTTGCAGCAACTGTGAGTATGTCTAAGGTTGCGGTTTCATTCACTCACATAATCAAGAGTGGTGAACCTGCTTTTAGCGTATTGGTTTCGAGGTTTTTGTTGGGTGAGACGTTCCCGCTTCCTGTCTACTTGTCGCTCCTTCCGATCATTGGTGGGTGTGCTCTTGCTGCTGTGACCGAGCTCAACTTTAACATGACGGGTAACTAAATTTGACCTCTCGTTAAGCGTAGTTGTTATGTGCTATTTTAGGAGCTATGATGTCGAATATTGTTGTTCTTTTCAGGTTTATTTCGTATCGATTTAACTGCTCACTAATATATGAGTCGTTTGCATTCCTTATCTTTAGTCTGCTTTATCTCTGAACTTGAAGTTGTTACATTGCTGCAATATTTTAATACTCATTTGTTCTTTTTATGTTTTGCTGACATTGACTTGTGTTGGAATGATGCTGCCTCTCTAAGATGTTCTTATATCGAGATCCCATGTCGGTTGGGGAGGAGAACGAAACATTCTTTATAAGGGTGTGGAAACCTCTCCCTAGCATATGCATTTTAAAAACCTTGAGGGGAAGTCCGAGAGGGAAAGCCCAAAGAGGACAATATTTGCTAGCGATGGATCTGATCTGGACCGTTACATCCAATATAACTGCTTTCCTTGGTTTTATCTCTTCAGGTTTCATGGGTGCCATGATATCAAACTTGGCATTTGTATTCCGTAACATATTTTCAAAGAAGGGCATGAAGGGAAAATCCGTTAGCGGGATGAACTACTATGCGTGTTTATCGATTTTGTCTTTGTTACTCTTGACGCCATTTGCGTTTGCTGTGGAGGGACCGCAACTGTGGGCAGAGGGATGGAAAACAGCTATCTCTCAAATCGGACCTCATTTCGTTTGGTAATTAGATTTACTTATTTGTTCGTTCGCATCGTTCAGGAAGCTAGCTACTAGTGATTGATCTCAGTTATTCATATTTTCTCCATATCTGAACGCTGTACTTTATTAAACGAAAACCATGCTGATTTATATTGAAATAGAAAATGTCTCAACTCCCTGTGTGAGATCCCGCATCGGTTGGAGAGGAGAACGAAGCATTCTTTTATAAGGGTGTGGAAACCTTTCCCTAGTAGACGCGTTTTAAAAACCTTGAGGGAAGGCCCAAAAGGGAAAGCCCAGAAAGGACAATATCTGCTAGCGGTGAACTTGGACATAATCCTCGTTTTTCTTGCACTACACGACATTGTTTTGATTGTTTGAACGATATAGGTGGGTTGCAGCGCAAAGTATATTCTACCATCTCTATAACCAGGTGTCTTACATGTCCTTGGACGAGATATCTCCCTTGACGTTTAGCGTTGGAAACACCATGAAACGTATATCCGTCATAGTTTCTTCCATCATCATCTTCCGCACACCCGTGCAGCCAGTCAACGCTCTCGGAGCAGCCATTGCAGTTCTCGGAACCTTCATATACTCGCAGGTGCGCCTTTGCTCCTAGTTTCTTTGGTAAATCTATCATCTCATCATATACTTATTATGGGTCTTGCTGAAAATAATCTACTGGTCCATACGTATTGCGTTAGGATAAGATAAGGTTTATGTGTTCACATTACTCCCGTGACAAAGCCCCCAACAAAAAACAACTCTGTGATATGCACTCTAGTCACAAGATACTCGGTCTCGTTATTCGTCGCACAATTTCTCGAGTGCGCGCTCGGGATTGAAATATGCTTATGTTTGACTTCCTTCTTCAATGAGAGACGCAAAATCTTTTTCCGTTTGCAGGCAAAGCAATGAGGAGAGGAACGAAACGAAACACGAACTTAGGCTTATCGAAGAGGGTGGTACGTCTCATATTACATCCGAGGCGAAAAAGGGAAAGGACCGACAAAGAAGGCGAGGAAAGAAGCCTAAGAGGTCGTTTTCAAGTATTTTAGACACGAAATGTTTGATGTTACGAAGCACGAGCGAGCGGGGTGTTGCGTTGTTGTAGGTATAAATAATGTTGAGTTTATATAAGTTTGTATTGAGGTGAGTTTAAGTATGTTATTAAAGCATCTTTGTTTGAGAAGATGAGAGATGCATAGAGGGAATGAATGATTTGAATACAAAAATAATGACAAGAGAACTCCNTGTCTTTTGCCTATATTTTTTTTTTTTTTTTTTTTTTTTTTTTTTTTTTTTTTTTTTGCCTAAAGTTTTATTTGGTGGTAGTTGGTGTGTGTTGACAAGCATCTTTGGAATATTCCCTCCAACTTGTCTGTTCGTTCACGGTTTCAAAATATCTTTATTCTTTTGATCGTTACTTGAACGGATATAAATTGATAATGTGATGATAGCTCATAATGGTGTGCCTTTTTGTTGTAAGTTGAAAGCATCTTTTTTCTTTTTAATGTTACTTGAACGGACAGAAAGGTGCGTTGCCCTGTTTTAATTTCGGTCCAATATTTTAGCAAATTTTTATTTTTAAATATTTACGAAAGGTTAATATTATATTACAACTTTTGAAATAATAAAAATATTGTTGTGAATAACGACAAAATTTAAGTATTTAATAAGTACGATAGAAAAAGTTGGTGGTGCATTGATTCTCTCATTTTTAGATTTGAGTGGTCCAAACACGATCTTTTTTTATGAGCATTGTGTTGTGTTTTTTTAATCTATGTTTGAAAATCTTAGAATAAATAAAAAATAAATAAATAAGGATAATTATAGAGATTGCNTATATATATATATATATATATATATATATATATATATATATATATATGTTTTGCTAATTCAAGTGAGGTATAAAATGTAGATAGACGGTTTTCATTTATATAATAATAAAACTCTTATTCTTTCGAAAGTTGCAATATTATCTCTAATCTTTTAGAAAGATTTAAAAAACTACTCTAGAAGTAGAAATTTATGAAATTGAGACATGAAACGAGTGAAGATTATCATTTCAATCCGAATCACTTCTTCAATTTCTACTCAAAGCAATTTCGAAACGTTTATAAAGGTAACAGGTAATATTACAACTACGTTTAGGCGTATTTTTCTAGTTTCCCCACTCACTTCCCCGTCTTCTACCTCCATCGAGCATTGTTTAACGGCGGTGAAGCCCACGCCCCAACCCGCACCTTCATCATAGATACCTTTTCTCTTTGTCCCTCATCATCTTCCTCTCAGCTCCTAAAATGGAAACCAAAGACGAGGGAAAACACATACATTCATTCTCCAAGTCCTCAAGAAAGCAAGGGGAAATGCAACCAACTTAAGTTTAAGTCCAATGAGTGACATCAAAATCTCCTCCCCATAGTCCCAATTTCCTAGGATCACTGATAAGAAGGCCCATAAATAACTAAAATCCAGCAAGAAACACCATCGGCAAGAGTGAGTGATTTTAAGAGAGGAAGAAATAACCACTGAACCTCATCTATTTTGTTAGTAGCAAGGTCTTTCTGAAGAATAAGGATACCTGGAGCAGTTCCTTCAGAATTCACATAAATTGTAACCATCCAAGCTCACCGCTAGCTGATATTGTTCTCTTTGAACTTTCCCGTTCAAATATAATTGCTTCTAAAATGCCTCCCTGAAACCGTGACCAGGCTATAACACTCCCATCAGGACTGAGAATTTCCCTACTGTCCAACCACCATAATTCTGCATCATTTAACAACCTTGGGGGAAACTCGAAATGAAAAGCCTAAAAAGGATAATATTTGCTAGTAGTGGGCTTTGGCCGGTACATAAATCTAGCCAAAATCGATAATGACAGTGGTTGACAGAGTTTAGTTTGGATCCTTGGAAAATTCAGATTGGCTTTCAGTGGTGCTTCAGACAAGGACCCTTCTCTTTCAGACCCCAAGTTCAATGAATTAGGATGGCTAAGACCCTAAGGCTCACAAAGAATTCTTCACTCCTTTTATCACTTTCTTATACATCTCAAATATAAACTAGAATGAGATTATCGGCATCCAAAGTATAAATCTACAGCAATTGAAAATAAAGATTAAATAAACGATTACTAAGGGCCATGAAAATGCATCACTATCAAAAAAAAAACAAAAGTGCGGCATAATTGATCTACATTTATGAGATGCAAGCACGAAGGTAGTCAGGAGAAATCAAAATTTTACTATTAAAAGACTTCAAAATGCATAATTTTTCAGTTCAAGACATGGTTAATAGGACATACATCATAAAAATACTTTCTTTGAAGATATTGATTACAAAGACAAATCTAGAATGGTTGGTCAATTACTCACGACATCCTGATGATGGAAACATCTCTAAGGCCTCGAACTGGACGAATCGACTGACACACTGAATTGAATTTGAGGCTTATCATCCAGCTGACTTCTCATGCAACAATACATATTCTCGACTGCAAAAAATTAGAAATAAATCAATAAAATATGAATGCAGTAAAAATTTACAGGATGCATCAAGAACAAACCATCAAAGAAAAGAAAATTCAGCAGTATTTTTTAGATCCTTATACTATTAGGATCTACTCCGTTAAGGACCTAATGACGACTCCCATCATTGTTTTTAACAATTGAGCTCGATTACTCTAAAACGAAAAAGGAGATTGCTTAACAAGTTCACATGATAAACTTGTAATTTAGGTAAGATGTCGTATAAGTAAATAAAATATAGATTCAGCAAGAAGTTGCATGCCGAGAACTGTTTATCAGAAAATCAAAAGATTGTCCAGTCGAACTGTCTAAATTACCAATGGAGGTAGAAAAACCATAATGAATTTAAAACACAAAATGAAAATTCAAGACACGGTCTACAATCTTACCTACTATTGCCAAACTTCAGAGTGTCTTTTTCAAAAAGTTCATAGTAACGTTGAGGTTCAATTGCAGATTCCTGCAAATGCAATTACATTATAAAAAGAATCATGAAATGAGTAAGACCATAACCTACAAAAAGATGGATGAAAAAGTGTTGCTTACGTTGATATAAGTCTTATTTGTGCTTCCTAGATCCATCAAATAAGGCCTACCAATACAAAAATACATAAGAAATGGCTCATCTGAGATTGGAAAATTCCTGTCACGTTGATCATGGCATATTCTTACCTTACTTGCTTCGACATTGTACCATCAGATTTCTCCTTTTCTACTTGCCTACAAGATACCGAAACAAATTTTGCTTAAATGGGGGATTACATGCTATTCCATCAACATCAAGGAAAACATAACCGCTAATAACAGATCTACCGAAACTGGATGACAGCATGTTGCTTGCTGCAGGATGGATGATCAGTAGGTATGTCCGCGACTCTTCTTTCTCTCCCAAAAAGGTAACAACTTTGACGATGTATGTAAAGAGGTTCTAAAATTCATTGTGATAAGTTAACAGCTTCAACATTGTATATGCATAAAAGCATTCTGACATGTTAAAATTAAGAACTCAAACACAAAACAAATAACTAATTTCCACTATTGACTGTGCGCATGCTCCTTCTCTAATGGAGACTCCTCGATCACTTTCAAACTTTTCCAAGGTGTAATCTCGAGCCCTTGATAAAATATTTCAAACCTTGCACCCACCGGCATATGAAAACACGGCATTATTTCTTGCACATTTCTTTTCTTATGAAGTTTTCTTTCAAATATTTTCACACAATAATTTTTCCTCTCATCTCTCAGCACAAAAAATCAGAGAACAAAAGAAAATAACATTTTGTGGATAAAATGCCCCTGTACTTATATCAACCTTGTTTTTAAAGCAAACAACTAAACAATGCTGATTAATAATAAAAATTAAAAACCTCTAGTTCACCCAAAATAAAAGAAACCTCGGATTTCATCCTACTATTATTCAAATAGCAAATCTAATAAAATATTTTGAGAATCAATCAGCAATTTAAGTTCTCATGGCCCTCTTATTGACCACTAGGCCAACCCATGGTGAAAAGAAAATAAGTGATTTAAATTTAGTGAGTCACAAAGGTAACAAATCATATATCTTTCACTAAGTAGAAGGAAAAGAGAGAAAACGATATACATGCTTTCCGTGGACAAAAGTATTGGACCCACATATGTTAGACCACAAATAAGAATTTGCTGGTTGCTACACACAAAATAAGGCTTATCCACTAACCATTAACACCAAAAGATGAAAACAGATATGGAAGTCTGGAACGAAATCAAATTGACTACGTAAATCACAAAGCCTTACCATTCAGCACTTCTCCAGCCTTAAAAACATACAGCCGCCATCTTACATCAGGTTTTCTAGCATCTGGAGGTTCATTAAACAGCAACGTAATACCTACCAAATGAAAGCAGAGAAGCTTCAGAAATTTGTCTCAATGAAGAGCATGCAGGAAGAATTATAATTCCAGTTATATGGGACTAAGTGCATACATGTCCCGCAATACAAATTTAAAAAAGATAGAGATATTAAATTATCTCACCTCTTACTCTATTAGTTTCTGCTGCAAGCTTTCCAGATAGCTCAAAAGAAGGTTTGTCCTGAAACAAAAACGGAAAAGAAAGCAATATTTATCCTACTAATGATCAACAAAGAATTCAAAAAAAAAAATTGCACACAGAAGGCAGCCTCCAGAGGAAAATATATACAGGATAAGAACGCTGACAAAAAAATTACATGCTTTCCACTAAAACATCTTATTTTCAAGAACCTAGCAAGCCAAGGCTAAATAACACCTTCTGCTTAACTTCTAAAGCTTCCTCCGCAGCCTTCATCTTTGCCACTGAATCATCGTCATCACTCCTGCTCATGCAAATAATCAGAACCTAGTGAGAAGCTGCGAGGCAATAGATATAGATGATTCTCAGTACAAAAAGAGGGATTCTAAGATAGACAAGCAAATCTGAGGTAAAAATTTGTGCTCTTCACAACTATTAGAACAGAATTTCATTATGCATTCAGTT